CTATCATTCGCAGATCTTATCTAGCGCGAATTATCTCGGCGAACGGGGGGGACAATACGAGCTGTTCCGCGAAGCTGCAATGACGCGTGTCTCATCGTCACGAGTGCCAAGTTTGACAAAGGACGCTTACGACGTTAACGCGCGCGACGCCCGCCGATGCATCAGCGTCCGGCAATGACTCCTGGCGAATTAATATTTTCGAAACGATGCGCGGCTCATTGCATTCGCGGTTGGAGACTGCTTCCTCTACTCCTGGTGCAGTCACCCCGACATGAATCATTAAAGAAACAATGCTGAAGGCAGTGGCGTATCTATCATACGCGTGGGTGGTGCAGCTGCGCCGACGCCGACGAAACCCGGGGGAATCCCCTGACTGCGGCTCGTAATGGCTTTTAATTTCGTATCGTATCTCTGCCATCGATCTGCGCGATTCTTTTTGCGAGAAAATGCGTCGATAAACATGTTCCATTACTATCGTACACGCATATCTGTTTCATTTTCTTTTGTCTACAACACGAAAGCGTTGGATTGTGTATTAAACGGCATACATAAGAAAAAAAAAAACGTAATCAGCGGCAAATCCAAAGTATGTATTTATTTACTGTTTACATCTTACATATCACTTAAACTTATTCGTACGCTGCAGTCTTAATGCATCAGAGATTCGACACTCGGAAACAATGGAATAAGTTTGTATCGATAGACAAAGTAGGTATAGATAAGGCACTGCGCAATCTTAGCATGTGTACTTCGTTAAAAAAAAATAGCCTGCATTTAATCGTATATATCATATCTGTTTTTAACTTAACAGAGAGAGAGAGAGAGAGAGAGAGAGAGAGAGAGAGAGAGAGAGAGAGAGAGAAGCGATACTCCACTCTTTTCCGATAGTGACAATTTCATAGGAATGAATAATCTAAAAGTACCTACGTTACGTCTATGATTCATAAAGGTATGTCTGATTTCGCTTTGTTTCGAAACTACAACTGTTTTCGTGTTTTTATCCGTGCTTGTTTATTTTACACAGTAGATTCACAATATAGAGACCTATCGCGTTTCAAGCCTGTAATCGTCTTCATCTCGTTATCCTTTTGTCACATCCAGGCGTTACTTGGATCTGCTGGAAAGCTCGCTCGATCGAACGACAGAATATGTTGTCCAGTGACTGCGTTCCGTAGAGCAGACAACAGATTTCAAACGATCCTATATGTAAAAAATCCAACGGGTTCATAGCGGGTAATGAGATCTGCGAGACTAGCTCGTTTGTTAGAGAATCGTCCATCCGAGAAATATCTCGCTGAAACACGAAGCTCGCTGTAACGCGGAAATAAGATCGTTTCACAACTTATTTTGTTATCTTTTTAACTTTGCGCGATCGAATCTGCGCTCACGCAATTTATCATCTCTCCAGAGACAATCAAATTCGTCTTTCGCACATCCTTGGAACATTTCCCAAAACGCTTCACGTAAATCTCTATTTATTTCATCGCGATGAAATCAATTCTCTTTGGTAGGCCGTGATTCGTATCGGACCGATACGATATACCTCGATATACGTCGGAGCAAGCCGTCGGTTTTATCAGCGACGGAAACGTGACTCTCTCTCTCTCTCTCTCTTTCTCTTTCTTTCTTGCAACTTACTACGTTTCTCTCCTCTGATATAAAGGGTGACAAAAACGCGCGCACCTAACCGGCGCGGCGCGTGAGGTTTATTGAATGAAAACGCCGCTCGATACGTTTCTATTTTGTTTTTTTTTTTTTTTTTTTTGTCTTTTTTCGACCGACGCGCGTCTTGCCGAACGCCGAATGAAACAATGGCCATTATATGGAACACTCGCGCGCAAACGTATTACGCGCACATACTCACGGAACGTTGTACGTGTACATTAGGTACGTTCAGCACGGTTCGCCTAGGACACCGTGTATGTATGCGTATGAAGCTGCGAAAATGCGTGTTTGCGCGCGACAGACAGCTGTTCGTACTATTATACCCGGCGCACGGTCGCATAATGCCTTAAGGACAATCGTGGGAATTCCATTAAGTGGCCTTGAATGGTTCATTCATGTCGATCGACTCTTTTTCCTAACGGAACGGGTTGACAGATCAATCGGCCCGAGAGCTCAGGCACGAGAGCGACCCACGGGATTTCATTCGCTCGTTCTCGAGATCGAGAGAAACTCAAGCCGGAGTCAATTACTACTACTGGGCGCAGCCTGTAGCGCGGCGATACCGCGATCGTCGGGAGGAACATCGGAGTCATCGTCGTCGAGAATGTTAGATGCCGGTTCGAATCGATCGGGACTCCTCTAGCGTCTCGGCCGCGGCTTATCATAGTTTATTCCTCGGCGAATCGCGATTACATTCGATTGCACTCGCACGCGAACGTACGAGAGTACGAGTGCTTTGCCGTTGAACGATCAGTAAACTATTACCAGATCGCCCGTTTTTGAATCAGATATATATGTATGTATATATATATAATAGATATTGGTGTCCGTTATGACATTCAATTTGACTTTGCGCGTGCGGTATATATAATATATCGTATCTACGGAGATTACAGTAATACACGCTGCGAATACATCCCAAAAATAACAGACGTAACCAAGGTAACGTAATCTCGGCGAAATAGGATTATGTAAAGTTGGCAAAGTGGTACGGCAGTGGTAATTTACCTATCCTTAAGGAAACATATTCCGTTTGAAAACAAGGAGGAACACGGTACAAAGAGCGTTAAGGAAAATATTACAACGAGAAAGTAGTATGTAAAAATATATTACATGAGAAATGTAATACATAAATACGGCGGTGATCCGAAAATCCTTTGGCACCTCTTAAGAAAATACCCGTGAAAGCATTGAAAGTGATACATAAAAAAAGTAATATGTTAGATATAAAGAATAGTATAAACAATAACATATAACACACATTGGTAAAAAAAAAAAAAAAAAATGCCATATTCAGTTAACGCGGCCCTTTGTGCCCGAATAATAGTATTTCTTATGAATGTAATACAATTTCCAGTTCAAGCAAACTGTATTTCAATCTGTCATTCGTTAATCTTGAAACATAGTCTTAAATGATTCATAAAATGTAAATAATATTACATGTAAAATTCATTCGCAACTTTTATGTTATAGGTCATTAATATGATATTTTATTGTACTTGGCTCGTAGCCCTTTTCAACATAATTTCTTTTTTATATTACTCTTTTATATTACTTCAGCCATATCATATTACGTATTTGAACAATAACAATAATTACATCAGGACTCTCGAATTTTAACAACAATAACGAAAAAAGGACTATATAATAGGCCAATGAGAGTCAGCATCGATAAACGGCGCAATTATTTAGTGAAATATTTATAACGAAATAAAGAAGACGTCAATCCAATTTCTGATTATTGATGCTGACTCTCATTAGTCTACTATAGCTATTACATATTTTAATACATAAATGAACACTTTCGCAACGAACTGAATAATAAATGTGGATAAAGTAGATGAATGATTCGTTCGATCGAGGATATGGTAAGACATGGAATACAACTGGACGCATTCTCTTTTGATTTTTGCAGGATGCTGGACAATTATGACAGGGGTGAGGTGACACCACCACCGGCGGTGAGCGGCTACGGCGGCTCCCCCGGGCTTCTGGCGCTCCATTCGTCGCTTTACGCAACTCCCACGTCGAGAGCCTACGACATCGACTCCGGTATCGACGGCAACGACAGCTCGATGCCCATCGACACCCAGATCATCTCGGTACAGTGTCACGATTCCATTTCGGATTCTGCGTAGACTGTCGTTCTCGAGATAGATCCCCGCGCCTTCGCGTTGCACACGCCGTGTAACGTACTTACATTCTTCTACGCTCGACGTTCTTGTAAACACACCTACGTGAGGCATTCGCAGCAACGCGCGCGTACAACTATTCGGAAATGAATGCACGAGTACAAAGTCGAACCGCCGCGCGGAACAATGATAGCTCGAGGCGAACGATAGCAAAATCGTATGTTTGATGTGAACGCGATCGATTCATTAATCCCACGTTTCGTCTTGTCTAGAGATCCTAAAGCGAAGTCTAACCACGGGCGATTTTGTCGAAATTTTACGAGAGTGCCCATTCTGTAATCTTAGTTGAGATTACACACGGAGAGAATGTTTTTGACGACGTGCCAAAAAATTTATTGCTAGATACAGATCTGAAGATGATTTTGTTGGACTATCAAAATAATTACAATTAGAAATTTTAAGCACGATGAGTAATGCTGTAACAAGTTTTGACGTTCTAACAATCAGTTTGAGTATTCTACGTATAACTAGAGTAGTATATAAGAAATAATTCAATTTCGACGCGCAGTTTTGAATAACTACAGAAATCTGTCATAGGCTTGAATATTTTGCTAGTTTATTACAACAAAATTCATCTTCGGATCTGTATCTATCGAAATTTTTTTAGATATTTCAGCTAATCGTTCTTTCCACGCAGAAGTGGAAGTACAGTACAAGTTATAGAGTGAGATATGTACACAGGAAGATAGTACACGTACATACATATCTTTCTCTCTTGTAGGATTTTGACAAATCGTTCGTGGCCACACCTTGTTATAGAATCTAGTCTTTGTTAGTCGTCGCTAGGCGTTTTAACAACGTGATTGTTGGCCAAATAAATTTATACCGTTCGACATCTTTATACTTCAATCGACAACAACTTTTCTCGTTTTTGTACTTCCCGCGTCGCTTAAAACTCGGACACAAACGGGTGAAAATAATTTTTAAACTCGTTGAAACACGTTTCGTTTAGTTTTGGCTAAATAAACGTTGGACGTTCACGAGGGAATATATGTCTCATGGAATGTACCATTTCCTGAAAGCAGATACCGAGCATGCTGTCCGGCCCGGCGCAGCAGCGGCTCGAGGATATGCCGTGGCTGGCCTCCGGTCCGTCGCTCGAGTACCAACCGGGCATCTCGCCGATTCCCGCAGGAGTGAAGATGTGCCATCCCGGCGGCGGCACCGCCCAGAGGAGCCTCAAGGAGCAACGGATACGTCGCCCGATGAACGCGTTCATGGTCTGGGCAAAGGTCGAGCGCAAGAAATTGGCCGATGAAAATCCCGATCTCCACAATGCCGATCTCAGCAAGATGCTCGGTAAGTGCGCGTGAAATATTTCTCCCTCCTCCTCCCCCCCCCTCCCTCTCCCTCCTTCGCTCCTTAGAGCGATCAAAAGGCTTGCAGAAGTTCACGACGGCGTTTATCAATTAATCCCTCTAACGAGATCGTGTGGATTCGCTTGATGGACGAAACATTGAATGTAAATTGAAAGGAATATTGACCCGCCTTTTGCATTTACATGTTAATTGGCTGAGAAATCTTCTCAACTCCGATTCCGATCTATTAATAAAATTGTAAAAGAGAATTAACACTATTTGCTTTTCAGCGAGGAGTAGGTTCTCATGATTTGCAGCTCTAGAAATCCAGGGCTTTTAATAAAGCACCGATGCATTCAGTTTTCTATGTTAAATAGATCGGCGATTTATTAAAAAAACATTGTATCTTTTAAAATGTAATTAAGGCGCATCGAGGTTACCTCGTTATAGGAAAATTATCTATTACCGGATACAGCGGAGGCCGAGGTACAAGATTACGGTCTCGTCTTTTTCAAATACACGTACGCGGAAACAATGTTGACGCTGCTCGCGGGAAAAAGCCTTTTCCGCCGGGAAACCGAGTCCTGGGAATAAGAAAGCAGGAAAAAAAAAAAGATCTTCCACGCGGGGCGCGTTATCATTAAATTAATTGTAGGCGTCGGGCGAAAATGTGGAATTAATTCAATTACGCTTAGAACCGAAGCTTCAACGAGACGAGAGGAGAAAGGTGAGAGCTATCTCGAGG